CCTGCGAGCCGCTGGTGGGCCCCAGGCGCGCAGACATGGGCGGCCCCACCAAAGCGCGCTGGGCTGCCGCGGCGCTGGGCGTCGCGGGGCTGCTGTGCGCGGTGCTGGGCGCTGTCATGATCGTGATGGTGCCCTCGCTCATCAAGCAGCAGGTCCTCAAGGTGGGTGAGGGACCCCCGGGGGTGTCCGCGCACGGACCCGGGCTGTTGAGCTCTGGGCGCCGAGGAGGACCCGCGCATTGCGGCCAAGTGCCTTAGCATGGAAGAAGAGAGCCTGTGTTCAGGGGACGGGGCGGGGGGGAGAGGGGGGGCGGGGAGGGGAGAGACACGCGCATAAGCGCATAAGCATTGCGATGGGTGGACGACCGCAGCGGGATCGGCGCCCACCGGCTCCGCAGAGCACGAGGGAGGCCAGGTGCATCGGGAGGGGGCCGCTGCCCGCCTCTTCACCACCCTCATCGCCCCAGACTGAGGCTGGAGGGCAAAAGGGGAACCCAGGGGCTTTGCTGGAGGCGCAGGCCAGGGTTGGGGAGCCCTGGATGGGAGCCCACCCGGAGGCCTGACCCCCCCCAAAGGGTCTGGGAGCCCACGACAAATCAGGAGTGTGGATGGGTTGCTTCCGTGGTGCCACCCGAAGGAGCCCAGGAGTGCGACGCCTGCTTTCACAGAAGCCGGTAGCAGGGTCCGGTAAAATTAGAGCTGCACTTTGCTTGTATCCTGTGAGCCCGGGAGGACAGGAACCTTCTGTGAGGCCCACGTGGGTGCCCAGCTCACATGGTAGGTGCTCAGCTGAGCATCCTCCGCTGCCCAGAATCCCCCCATAAGAATCCTTTCCAGGAGTTAGAATGCGCGACCCTGTTCTCCCTGTTCAGTGCCTTCATGATTCAGTCTGGAAACTATAAGCCGCTTTTCTCCCCAGATTCATGCAGAGACAGGCACCAGCCCAAGGTCCTCTGAGTGCACGCAGCCTGAGGTCTTTCCTCTGATCCACACTATTGCCCTTTCAACCAAGGAGACAGATTAGGCGGTCAGCTGGTCTGCAGATGGACAGACTCTGCCCTGGGTGCCAATGTTTGAATGAGCCTGGAGTTAGGGAAGGACTTGGAGATTGCAGAGTATCACATTTGAGCTAAAAGTCATTTAGAGTTTTGAAGCCCTGGAGCCAGCACCTGCAGTGGAGGGAAGGGGAAACTGGGGCTCACTGTTATCAAAGTTCCAGCCAGATGCTGAGCTGGGGTGAATATTGGACATTGTCACGCTAATGGACATCTTTTCCCCTTGGCCTGCCTCTTTAGACTGAGTTTCTTAAGAACGGCTCGTTGTCCACATTTCATGTCTGTTCCCTCATTTACAGAGTGAATGAATGAGTGAATGAATGAAGCATACGTCTGCTTAGGTCTGGCTGCCACTTCTTGGGACCCAGCTAGCTGGCTTTAAATATGGAGCAACATGTGGCCTCTCTCAAGGTCTCTGGGTGAGCAGTTGTCTAGAGCATCTTGGCCATGTTGTGTCTATTTTTGATTTTTCAAATCTTATCCTGTCAAAGCCTGTAGTCTGATTGCACAGAGGTCCCGGTGGAGGGTGACACTGTCTCTGGGGATGGCAGGAAAAGCAACAGAATGGCCTCTTCCTCCCCATGACAGCTCAGAGTCTTTCTCTGTTACACTTTGGGAGTTTTATTTCTGTGGCCTACTCATACTGAAACGTGTGTGTCAGTGACAGCCTTGTGGCTGCTGCAGTGCCAGGACCCCACAGTGTGTATGCAGGGTCCCTGGAGGGGCTGTCACTTAGGCAGTGCGAGCATGTGACCTTGTGCTGTGAGTGAGCACCTAGTCTCTTGCTTTGGGAGTGTGGGGGTGGTGGGATTTATGCCAGGTAAAGAGTCTCGCCAACTCAGTTATTCGGGGGCTGATTTCAAGGTGTTTTCTTTCTCAGGATGTCATCAGGTTAAGGATGTCAGTAGGATGTGTGAGCGTGTGTGTGTGCGTGTACCACACATGCATGCACCACCAAACTTCCCCACTCCTCTCCCGGGCTTCTAAAGAGGAAAACCACATTGTCCTCAATTGTCCTGGAGCTAGGAGCATCTGGCTTAAAGCTGAGCAGGAGCCTCCCAGCATCCTTTTGTAGATATCCCAAAGGCTATTGGTCTGGGGCTGAGTGGCGTGAAGGCAGGAAGACACGCCCAGCCCAAGACGGCCACTTCTGGAACTGCCCAGGCTGGAGCAGCGGCCAAGTGCCTTAGCATGGAAGAAGAGAGCCTGTGTTCAGGGGACGGGGCGGGAGAGACACGCGCATAAGCAGAGATTGCCCGCTGGTGTTTTCTTTGGCTGCATGAGTCTGTGTGCAACTTGAATGGGAGGCCTTGTGCTTTGATTTTTTTTAATATGCTTTTTGGTTAGTGACAGGAGTCCCTACAGTTGGCCCTCTGTGTCTGCAGGTTCTGCATCCATGGATTCAATCAACTGCAGATTGAAAGTATTCAGAAAAAATCCCCCCAAAATAATGATACAACAAAAAAATAGACATAAAAACAATACTGTATAACAACTATTGACATAGCATTTACATCGTATTAGGTATTATAAGTAACCTAGAGATGATTTGAAGAATATGGGAGGATGTGCATAGGTGATATGCAAATATCACAGCATTTTATGTCAGAGACTTGAGCATCTGCAGGTCTCGGTATCTATGGGGGTCCTGGAACCAATTCCCCTCTGACACTGAGGGACGACTTTATATAAAATATATGAATACTTGCTCGTAAAAAAAGTTCAAATGGAGGAAAAAGAGAAAGTTTGCCCCATTTTATTCCCCTCCTCAGCTATTATCACCATCATTGGTGTGGATCTTTCTAGACCCTTTTCTGTGTACCAAGAGCCTGTATGTATACATATCAATACATATATTTTACATAACTTGAACTAAGTGCAAATGAACTTGAACATGTGTAATTATCTTGCAATTTGCTTTTCAATTCAAAGATATTATCTGAAAAATTTCCCATGTCTCAGCAATAAATGTACCCCGCGTTTTCCTTCATCACTGCTGGTTTTCCTTTGAATGGTTATAGACTTGTTTACCTGTTTCTCCACTGACTGATCATTTTCTTTTTTTTTTTTTTTGAGACGGAGTCTTGCTCTGTCACCCAGGCTGGAGTGCAGTGGCCGGATCTCAGCTCACTGCAAGCTCCGCCTCCCGGGTTCACGCCATTCTCCTGCCTCAGCCTCCCAAGTAGCTGGGACTACAGGCGCCCGCCACCTCGCCCGGCTAGTTTTTTGCATTTTTTAGTAGAGACGGGGTTTCACCGGGTTAGCCAGGATGGTCTCGATCTCCTGACCTCGTGATCCGCCCGTCTCGGCCTCCCAAAGTGCTGGGATTACAGGCTTGAGCCACCGCGCCTGGCCTGACTGATCATTTTCTCTGTCACAAATGACAGCGATATCCCGACACATCCCTCTTCGTGTGGTTCATGAACATTTCCATAGGGTGGATTTCTAGAAGTGGGGCCTTGGGAGCAGGTGTGCTCAGTTTGAGTTTTGAAGATTATGGCCAAATTGCCCTCTGCACAGCTCTGTTGCTACATCCACCCACAAGGTATGGAACTGTGCCACTTCCCCTATCTCTGCCATCACTGGTGATTACTGATTTATCATTACCATTTTTTGGTAGCCAAGTTCCCATGGGTCTCTGGTCCTCCAAGGAAGGCCCAGCTGGTGGACATGGGGAGAGGCCCCTCACTGGGTTACAAAAAAGGGATGGTCATCTTCCAAGGCCTCCATCTTCAATGATGAGCTGGAGTGAAGATGTGGATATTGTCACACTAGTTGACATCTTTTCCCCCTTGGCCTGCTTCTTTAGACTGAATTTCTTAAGAATGACTTCTTGTCCACATTTCCTGTCTTTGTCCTTGTCACAGAACTTGGATGTGTGCCCCCAGGGATCTGAACCATGTCTTCGTTATTCACCAGATCACCCGAGGTCAGAAGTTTGAGACCAGCCTGGCCAACATGGCTAAACTGCGTCTCTACTAAAAAATACAAAAATTAGCTGGACATGGTGGTGCATGCCTGTAATCCCAGCTACTCAGGAGGCTGAAGCAGGAGAATAGCTTGAACCTGGGAGGCTGAGGTTGCAGTGAACCAAGATTGCACCACTGCCTTCCAGTCTGGGTGATGGAGTGAGACTCCATCTCAAAAAAAAAAAAAAAAAAAAATGAAGAAACTTAGATATATGTCTCAGCATGGGTAGGCCATAATTGAAAAAAAGCTAATTACTAATCAAAAAAAGTAATTACTTTTTTACTAATTACTCATTGAAAAAAGCTCTGGTACTATTTTTGTTAAAAAAAAAAAAAACCACCAAACAATATTCTATATTTTCTTTCAGTTTTTATTTTTATTTTTGTAGAGACAAGGTCTCACTGTGTTACCCAGGCTGGTCTCATACTCCTGGCCTTAAGTCATCCTCCTGCCTTGGCCTTCCAAAGCACTGGGATTGTAGGTGTGAGCCACCGTGCCCTGCCATTATTTTCAATGGCTTAATATTAGAATATGTAAATGTTGAAGTTTGGGAAAGGTGAGACTAACAGAAGTGGATACTCTCACGAGAGAAGGCAGGACACTGGGGGTGTGGACAAAGGAAACCTAATACTTTATCTGTAATGCTCCTATTTTTTGTTTTAACAAATAAAATTATCCACATGCTACGTATTTGATTCAAAGTTACAAGGCCAAGCATGGTGGCTCACGCTTGCAATCCCAGCACTTTACGGGGCTGAGGTGGGAGGGTCACTTGAAACCGTGAGTTCAAGACTATCCTGGGCAACATAGTGAGACCCCATCTCTACAAAAATAATAATAATAAAAAAACTAAGCTGGCACATGGTGGCATGCACCTATAGTCCTAGCTACTCGAGAGGCTGAGGTGGGAGGATCTCTTGAGCCCAGGAGCTCGAGGCTGCAGTGAGCTGTGTTTGTGCCACTGTACTCCAACCTGGGCAACAGAGTGAAATCCCATCTCTTAAAAAGAAATTACAAATGAATAGACACATAGCTTTCCCCAAAGACTGGCCAGATGAATGCGCCACACGGACCGAGGAGGCACACTGCAAAGAGGCCCCGTGGTCCAGGTTGCTTGGAGAGGCTTTGGGGAAGTGCGACTCATTTCTTCTCCCTTCCACCCGTGGGGAGGATTGGAGACAGGTGTTTGGACGGACACACTAAGGGCCGCGATTGTGAACTTCACGGCATCCACTCACGGGCGGCTTACTGTGCACTAGGCAGGGTTCAAAGCACCTTTGTGAAAATCGTCTCGTTTAGTCCCTGCAGAGGGCCATGACATACGACTTATTGTCATCAGTGTCCGTTAAGGAGACAAGATGAAGGGAGTAATTTGCCCCAAGTGACCTCGCTGGTGTGTGTGTGTGTGTGTGTGTGTGTGTGTGAGAAGGTGTCTGTCTCTGTCCCAGAGGCAGATGCCGTGAGAACGGGGACTCTTGCTCCCATTCCCTGGATCTGAACCTGGCGTGCAGCTGTGCTCAAGTATGTGGGTGAGTAATGAAGGCCCATTTCAGGTCCTGAGGGGCACACATCCAAGTTCCTGTGTGTCTCTGGTCCTCCAAGGAAGGCCCAGCTGGTGGACGTGGGCCTTCTTCCAAGGCCACCCTCTTCAATGATAGGCCTCATGGCCTTCTTCCATGTCCAGGAGAGAACCTGGGTCCCCTCTGCTGTCTTTAAGTTGGTTTTCTAGTTGGACTCAACCTCGGTTGCCTTATCCCGCTGCTGGGCTGCCCCCGCCTATGGTCCCTGTCTCAATAAACAGCACCCCCATTTGTTTCTCCAGGGGTAGAGGCAAAAACCTTAGGTCATCTTTGCCTGCATGCTTTTTTCTGATACCCCTGTATCTGCGGAGACAGGGGCTTTCCCATCACTATCACTGCAGCGTCCCTGAGGGCCATAGCAGCACCTGAGCTCCTTGCCAACCCTTCACCAGTCAGGTTACAGAATGAATGAGGCGTGTGCGACCCCCCAGCCCTGGCCTCAGGCTCTTTGTCTCACCCCTGCCTCCCTCAGCCAGAGTCACACAGTGAGCCTCAGGGAGCCCAGGCACCAGGGCCAGCCAGGGAGGGCACCGACTGTCCCTGAGTTTGTGCCTTTTGGGAAATCTTTGTCAATCAGTTAAAAGGTGGGGGTTCGTGAGAGATAACAGTCAATGGGCACTCGCTGTGGCTGGACACTGTTCTAAGTGTTTATGTGCATTATTTCTTTTAGTATCTAAAATAGGTACTATTGTGTCTTGTTTTATTGAGGGAAATGGATGCAAAGAGCCGGAAAGTAACTTGCGCCATGTCACACAGCTCCAAGTGGTTGAATCAGGATTTCAAGTTGGGGGGCTCGACTCCACAGCCGGTCCCGGCGGCCTCTGCAGACTGCGTCCTCCCGGTTCTCCGCGTGTCTGAGCAGGTCGACTGCATGCTTAAGGCGGGCGGCGGGGGGGTCCCTTCTTATAATGTCTTCCTGGGCTGCCCCTTCCTTTTCTGTGTATCACCAGGGAACAGCAGGGTCCCTTCGAGGCCTTTGTCCTGATAATGACCCCCGCCAAACATAGCTGGTGCAGAGAGCACCCTGGCCTCTCCCTTCTGGGAGGAGTCTGAGACCAGGGACGTGTTCTTCAATCACAGGCACCAAGTGAGGCTCCCGGGGAGGCCATCTGTTCCTAGCCCAGGGCTCCCAGTGACCCTGGGGGCTGGACTCCCACCCGTCCTGCAGGGGCGGTCCGCTCTGCGCCTTTATCAGCCCCCCAGTGGAACCAGGGAGGGAGGTCCGGTGTCTCTAGCTACCGGGCGTTTCCTGTAGGACCCCCATGTCTGGACGCATGGGACAAAGCCCTCGAACTGATCACTGGTCACGGGTGGGGAGGTGGCTCCTCAGAGGAGAGCTCGGATCACAGGTGTGTGCCAGTTCTGTTTTGTTTTTCTTCCTCTTTCCTGCCATTGAACTTCCTACTCCTGGCATGTGAGAGACAACTTCAACTTACTCCCTGGCGACGGCTGAAAAACAGGGGCTATTTTTAGTTTGCCTGAGTCTAGTTGATTTGCTCCTGGTAGATTTGCCTCTCCCTGTCTTCATGAGTGTGTGTTTGCACACACGTGGGTTGGTGCATGTACATATGTGTTAATGGTGAAAACAGTGACACACACCTGTGTAGGCATGCACACACCTGCCTTGATGTGTGACCACATGATGTATGTGCAGACACCTGTGTTGGTATGTGCCCACATGTGTTGACGCAGGCGCACATGGCGTGTCTGTACACGCACACGGACACACATGAACACATGTGTTTATGCATGTCCGTGTGTGTTGATGTCTGCACATACATGTTGATGTGTCCTGCTGTTGTCTGGCCTTTCCAGGGCCAGGCCCGGCACCCGGGGTTTCCAGGAAATATTCCCTGTCCCTTCCTGGAATGGCCGGTACTTGCTGTACCTCCACCGGGAGACACACCCTGATTAATTAGAACGTGGTGAAGCTCAGCCACCTGGAATCGCCTTACCCTGGCTTTCGGTTTCTAGCAAATGCGATGGAAGTGAGTCCCCCCGTGTGGAGGGCTTGCTCCATGAAGGTGTTTTTCCTGGATGAGTCTTGGTCCCAATGGCGATTTGCTGCGGGCTCGTTGGCACTGTCATCCGTGGGTCCTGCATGGAGGTTCCTTAGTGTCCAGAGGGTGATTCCATGCCTGTGGTTAGCAGAAGAGAGGCCCCTGAGGCCATAGCCACTCCCCCCGAGGCTGAGCCCAGAGAGTTTGTGGTTTACGTCTTGGGCCTGGAGGAGTCTGTGGAGGAGTGTTCCGTGCAGGCCTTCTGCTCCGGGAGGTGCTGGCAGCTCTGATACCACAAACACATTAATTGTGCGGAGAATTCAACACTAGGGCTTGGTCAAAAATCAAAAACACAAAACAAAAAGAGAATCCCTTTTATTCACCTCGTCTCCCTCCCCCTGTTTGAATGTGACTTTGGGCTCTGCTGGCCCCCTTAAACGGCCCAGGGGCTGGCTCCCTGCAGGTGTCCGGCGATTTTCCTCCCAAAGCCTGGGTGAGATATGGAGCCACTCTGCCTGCTCAGAAGCTCCCCAGGCCCAGGGTTCCAGGAAGCCTCGTGGCCCAAGGCATGGCCATCTTAATTTTCTTGTTTTCTTTCCCTCCACTCCATTGTTTCTTCCTGTTCACTGATTGCCTGTGCTGGGGAGGGGGAAGGAACAGGAGGGGCCTGACCTTGTTCGCTTCCTGACATTTTGCGTGAAGTTCCTTCCACCTTCTCTGGAAGCTTCTAGAAGGACCCTTGAGGCTCTTTAAATCTCCATTATCTGGGTTTTCCTCCTGCCTTCCTGGCTGCTCTCGTCTTGCCTGCTGATGCCTCCTCATTTCCTTGGCCTCCTGCCTCCTACTGGTGGAGCCCTGGGCATCCTTTCTGTGCGTCCTCATCCCTCATCCTTGGGGTGAGCTCCTCCAGCCTCACGTCTGAATGGCATCTCTTGTCCTGACTACTCCCAAATTGGTATCCCTGGGCCCAGACCTTTCCCCTGAATCCCACCCCTGAGCATCCAATGGCATCCATATCTCAACTTGGGGTCAAAGGCAGCTCACGCTTGCCCCGGCTGGCTCCTCATCACCCCCGGCCACACCTGTGGCTCCCACCAGCTTCCCACTCCATCAGGAGCCTCCCCCCTCATCTTCCAGTTGCCTGGGCCAACATCTTGCACTCAGCCTTGACTGTTCTCTCCACTTCCTTCAACGAACGCGTCAGAAAGTTTTATGGCTTCATCTAAATATACCCAGATTCCAACCACTTCTTACCACGCCCGAGGCGCCATCACCTCTGGTCCAAGGCACCATCACCTTTCCCCTGGATTCCTGCATCCGCCTCCTCACTGGCCTCTCTGTGTTCACCGTTGCTTCCCAGTGGGGTTTCTCAATAAACAGCCACAGGAGCCCATCAAAACTGCACTTAACTTACCTCCTCCGCTCAAAGCCCTGACATGGCCAGACCCATCCCCTAAGAGTCACAGCCAGGTCCTAACCTAGCCCAGGACCTGTGCAATCCACCCCTGCCACTTTTCTGGCAACGTCCCCATTCCCTTTTCCCTTGCACAATGGCCTCCTGGCCATTCCTCAGCCCCACAGGTCCAATCGCCTTAGCTCTCTCGTGACACAAGCCCTCTCATCTCCTGTAGGTCTCTGTTCAGCTCTGACTTGCTCATGGAGACCCCCCCAACTCTGTTTGTGCATCATGCAGATTCCCCCTCATCCCCCTGTGCTCCCAGCCCTTCTTACTCGCTCTGCTTCTCTGTGGCCCTGTCAGCCACTGAGATACCCTGGAACTTCCCTGTGTCTCATGTTGATTGTTTATTGTCTATTTCTCCCCATGAGAATGTCGGACCATGAGAGCAGGGAGCTTTGTGTTGTTTGTTGCCATGACTGAAGCCCCTGGAACGATGCCTAGCACATAATCTCAGGTTCTCAAATATTTATTGAAAGGATGTTTAAAAGACAAGGGTTGTTTCAAAGGATGGTTCGTGACCAGTCGCAGGTTGTGGTCCTGTGCAGGGGGATGGGACCTACTCCTCCACCTGCCACAGCCATCGCCCCAGACTGAGCTGCCACTATCATTTCCCAGTGGGTGCTGGAGTGTCCTCATGGGGCTGTTTGCTCTGCTGATTCATACCACACTGTTGTCACTTCTCCCCATCAAAGCCAGGATGCTCTTTAAAACATGCAAATTGGGCCAGGCACAGTGGCTCATGCCTGTAATCCCAGAACTTAGGGAGGCCGAAGTGGGTGGATCACCTGAGGTCAGGAGTTCAAGACCAGCCTGGCCAACATGGTGAAACCTCGTCTCTACTAAAAATACAAAAATTAGCCAGGCATGGTGGCATGTGCCTGTAATTCCAGCTACGCAGGGGTTGCAGTGAGCCGAGATTGCACCATTGCACTCCAGCCTGGGAGACAGAGCAAGACTCCATCTCCAAAACAAAACAAAACAAAACAAACCCTATGCAAATCGGATCATTTCACGAAGCTGAATAAAATCTTCCTGCATTTGGTATCAAAGCTGTAGGCCTCATTTTCACGGGCCCTGCCCATCTCAACTCAGCATTCTCACCCCACTGCAACCTCACAGGCCTTCCTTTTCCTCCAACATGTCACGCGCTGTCCTGGCTCAGGGCTTTTGGACTTGCTTTTTCTTTTGCCTGGACTGTCTTTTTGTCCCCCTGGCTCTTATGCTTGGTTCCTCTTTTATGTTTAAACGTAAACTTTTGAAGCTTAAATGTAACCTTTTGAAGAAGACACCCCCTGACTGCCCACCACACTCAATGGACAGTTGCCCCCCACGTCCACTGTCTGTGCCATCTGTGTGGTTTTTAAGCTGGAGGGCAATGGCCCCATCTTGGCTCACTGCAACCTCCTCCTCCCTGGTTCAAGCGACTCTCCAGCTTTGCCTCCTGAGTAGCTGGGATTACAGGCATGCGCCACCATGCCCAGCTAATATTGTATTTTTAGTAGAGATGGGGTCTCACCGTGTTAGTCAAGCTGGTCTCGAACTCCTGACTTCAGGTGATCCATCTGTCTCAGCTTCCCAAAGTGCTGGGATTACAGGCGTGAGCCACCGTGCCTGGCTTGTGCCATCTGTGTTATAACCACTCCATGCTATTCCCTTCTGAGCCCTTAACAGTCTCTGAAAGTATCTCATCCACTTGTGTGAGTTCCATGAGGACAGAGACTATATCTGTCTCGTTCATGGCTGCATTCCATAGTTGGAGACCTTTGTCCATGTCAGAGGACTGCTTAGGGTAGGACCTTGGGCTAAGGCAGAGAGAGGCCCCTGTGGGGGTCCTCCACAGCGTGGACTTTGGAGCCAGGTTCCCTGAGTTTAGCAGTGGCTCTTGCACTGCCTATCTCTGGGGCTGTGGGTGAGTTGCATAACCCTGCCGGGTTTGTTTCCCCGGGCCTCCCTCCTCGGGCTGTAGCCAAGGGTAAGCGAGGTCATATGCCCTGGGGAGCATCCCGAAGCCTGGATCGCTGGGATGCCTCCACAGATTGTAGGCCTGAGTCTTTTTTTTTTTTTTTTTTTTTTTTTGAGACGGAGTCTCGCTCTGCCGCCCAGGCTGGAGTGCAGTGGCCGGATCTCAGCTCACTGCAAGCTCCGCCTCCCGGGTTCACGCCATTCTCCTGCCTCAGCCTCCCGAGTAGCTGGGACTATAGGCGCCCGCCACCGCGCCCGGCTAGTTTTTTGTATTTTTTAGTAGAGACGGGGTTTCACCGTGTTAGCCAGGATGGTCTCGATCTCCTGACCTCGTGATCCGCCCGTCTCGGCCTCCCAAAGTGCTGGGATTACAGGCTTGAGCCACCGCGCCCGGCCTAGGCCTGAGTCTTAACACACTCCATCTGGATTTCGGTGACTTCT